TCCTCTTCTTCTTGGTTTCACCGGGATGGGACCCGCGTGGTCGCAAGGCCGATGAGGCCCGCTCGCCGGAGCCTGCAGTCCCTTTTGTGCCGTTCATGGTGGCCGTCGGCTTTCTCCGAGGCGCTGCCTTCCCGGGGAGCCTGCCAGCGGGAGGCCCCGCCCGATCTCCCGCTATTAGCATCTCTTAATGCCTAGCAGCGGGGGGCCCTGGCCACTGTGGGCTCTCAATGTAGCTTTTGTGGGGGGGGGGATCAAAAAAGGGACTTGCCTACCCTGCAGCCGCTCACACCTGACCCGGCCGGAGCGCTGAGCCGTGCATGCTCAAGGCCTGGTGGGGGTGGGGTGGGGTGGGGGTGCAAGCGAATTCAACGAAGCTCTCAAACTGCTTCATCATCCCCCCCACGTACATGTAAGGGTGAAGCAAATGTGCCTTGAGAGACGTTGCACCTGAAACCAGAGGGGCTAATTGTGATGATGGCCGCTGTGACACTCGAATTGTCCTCAGGGGATGAATAAAGTCTCAGCCTGTGCGTCTGTCCGTCCGTCCGTCTGTCTCACAGTTTCAAGAGGGTTGATGTGTTGTGTGGTGTTTTTTTTTTCCCCCCTAAAATGTTTTTTTGGTATGTTTGGTATTTGTTCCCAATATTTCTTCAGATATTTTTTAATGTACTTTTTGTTTAAATTTTTCCCTGATTATTATTATTTTTTTGTATCTACTGCTCCTATTTCACATATTTTTATATATTTTTTTAATATTCATTGCTATTCATTCCTCAACACGCCTCACCTCAGCAGTTAGCGGCGTGATGCCACAAATTAAGATCCATTTTTATTTTATTTTTTATTTTTATCTGTGTCCGACCAGGCGAAAGTTTCCCCTCACTTTGTTTTCCCGGAGGCCGAAAATGCAGATTGGTTGTGGATGGAAGTCGCAACAACATTGAAAAACTGACTTTGTTGTTGACAGAAATCACAACATGATGCCATGATGTCGTTTAGTGGGAGTCGAGGCTTCAAAGACGGGCTGTTTCTCTTGATGTCGTCGTTTTGTTGTCAGCGGAGTGCAGCCGGCAGACAATTTGTCCTCTTGCATCCTTGTCAGTGCACGACCAGCGTGCCTAATGCTCTTTACATAGCGACATATCTTTTTTTTATTTTTTTGCTGACACAAATTGAGATGCATCACATCCATCGCATGATGATCACCGACCATCTGTGCCCCCCCCCCCCTCCCCTTATCCGTCCCGTTAACGAAATCTCGAAGCCCTCTCTGATGGATGCGCGGCAGACGGACGTACGGAAAGCCCCGCGCATAACCACTCGTCTTGTTTCGGCGGTGACAGGAAATCCATGAAATCTCGGGAGAGGAGCGGCAGGCATCTGCCTGCGGCACTGCTAATGGTCCAGGATAGCAAAGAAAAGCTCAATTTATAGATAACGTTACAGTGAAGCCCGATTTTTATCATGGGTGTGGGGTGGAGGTGGGGTGGATTGACCATTCATCACATGATTGGCTTACGATGGAAACGACACAAACCAGTGTCTCTTCCACAGACGGTGGACGTTCCCGTTCATACACTGCCACACATACTGTCCACCACAACGGCCAACATTGCATCGCAGTCATATGGTATTCCACAGGGTTCAATCTTGGGACCCTGCTGTTATCATTGTATTTGCTGGCCCTGCACGGTATTTCCTTTCACTTCTACGCAGATGACAGTCAGCGCTATATCCCGCTAAGCAAACAGGATGCTTTCCCCACTTTTATCCTGTCTTGGGGAAATCAAAGCCCGGATGGCACGAAACATCTTGAACTGCAATGGAAAGACAAGTATGCCTCCTGTCAGCACGGTGTGAGTTGTGACAACGAAAGCACCACAATTAGTCATGCAGGCGAGCTCAGCGGTAGAGCCACCGTGTGTTTGTTCGCTCCACACTACCTGTTTGTTCCTTCTCTGACAAGTCCGGGTGAGACGGCTGCTATTCCTGCACAGAGCTTCGCCGCGGACTCGTCCAATGTTGCAGGAAAGAGTGGGCTCGAGGCAAGCCGGCAGAAAAGTCTTGCTTGACTGCTTTCCTGATAAATTTGCCTGTTTTTTGTTGTTGCTGTTGTTGTTGCTTTTTTAATAGACAAACACTACTCGCCTGGAAATAGTGCGGTGGTGATTAGCCATAGGCACCGCAGAGCTGAGCAAGATCTCATGATTTATTTCGGAGGCCCATAGCTTTTGATTAATGTTGTCCAATCCAATGGCTCACCCTCGGACGCTCTGCACGGCTGTTTTGTATGTCACGCCGCTTGATCTCTGTGACCAGCGCGCGTGCTATCATGCGATAGCCCGCTAGCTGCGCCGCGCGTATGTCATGTCCAGAAATGAGGAGAATCCGCCGTTGCATTGTACACGTCCTTTTTACAGTTAGCATTTTTACCAGACGCATCGTATTTTTTTACTCCTTGAATTTCTTGACTCTTGATTGTCTTTGCATTTGAGTCATGTGATCAATTCCTGTAAGCTACGCTGTGTCCGTTTCGCGGAATGTGATCGACTCTGAAGACGTAAAATAACAACGCACTATTACCTACCTTGTGCACATGCACGTACGCCTCGTACCTGAAATGTTGATCGTTTTGGTTGGAAAAAGGATTTCAAGACTCGTTCGCTGGATGGAACAGATGCGTCTCCTATGTTGACTGGTAAAAGAGGTCGGCGCCAATATGCTTCGAGGGAGTGGCCCTTTCGCCATTGTTTATGTTGCCTTTGTCACCTGCTGCTCGCTGTTGCTCAAATGAGTTGAAACCAACGAATGAATGAAACAATTTACTAATGCGGGCTACGACAATAATACCGTGGCGGAATTCTCTGGGCGATAATTACTTAATGCACGCTGTCCGTGCCTGTGAGAAGCTGTAATTCATGTCCGCGCTTCTTGCCTAGTTGGGTGTCCGACATGTTGTGTTGTCAGTCCGCGAGCAGGGGGGGAGGACGATGTCTGCACTAATGAAGTGCATTAGCTTAATTACTGGCCCAGAGAAGCGTCGGGAGGCTTGGACTGACGCGTGCATCTGCTGGAGAGAAAAATGGAAAAAGTCCCTTTCTTCAGACTGAATGCTGTGGAACGGCTTCTGTTTGGTAAAAGCATGAGAAAGTTTTGGCCTTTGTGCTCCGGTCGCCGTCCTCTCTTTCTTTGCGATAACTAATGAATCGCCTTTTCTTTTCAGCCAGTCAAAAGAGAACCATTAATTTTTTTTTTTTTTTTTTTTTTTAGCCGTCCTTTTGAATGATTGCGGCTAAGTGAAATCGGCGATTGTTTCTCGACTCCAGCCCATTCGTTGAACAGCAGTGGTTCACCTGAGGCTCGAATGACGGGTGAACGAGCGTACAGTCACTCTGAATCACGCATACGTATGCGGGCACTTGTATTTAATGAGCCATGTGAAATTGAAAAATACATTAGTGTAAGTATATGAAGTTTGGTTATTTTTAAAAGAAAAAAAATGTCTGTTCCATCAGATCAGAGTTAATTTACTTTCCTAAATTACCAATGAAGGTGAAACACCAATCTGCCCAAAAAAACAAAATAAAATAAAATACCGGTAATAATCATTTTAAAACTTTTTCCGCCATACGTTTGGCCTTTTAACCTGTACATTGGGGGAAAAAAATCTGAACAGTTCAAAACAGCAGTCAGTGTTCGTATGAACACTGAAGGCTTCTGCTAGAAAACAAAAATGTCTTGAAATGCCCACACGAACAGCTGAACTTTATTGGCGGTTCATCAGAGGCACTTTAAATGGCGGCAGATGGGTGCTGACATTGGAGTCATCATGTTTATTCACTAAATATGATATGATGTTCATCCATGCATTTGTGTCTTATGGACTACATTAGCATAATCTGATTAGCGCAGTTTGGGCGCCGGTTAGGGAGGTCATCCCCCGAATTTCACGCCGGTCCCCCTTTTTTTTTCCTCATTCCGCCTCAGCAGCCGAGCTAATTATGAGAGAAGCGCCCCGATCGGCCATCTGTCGCCGCGACACTAGCGTGATATACAGTAGCGCTCCCCCCTGCAAAACACTCTCCTTGTCTGGGCTCCCAACTATGAAATATGTGGCGCTGAACCGGGTTCAAAGCCGAGTGGGAAGGTAAATCAGCGCCCGGTGCACTCTTTGCAGATGGCCAATGAAAGATGCACATTATAAATCTAAACGAGCCCGTCACTCGCTAGTTTATGGCGGCCAGGTTCTATCTCTCGCCTTCTTTTTTTTGTTTTTGCCGGCGTGTCATAAAGGCTTCAAAGTATTGGAGCAGGCAAGAAAAGTGACGACGCCAGATGACTAAATACTATTTTTATTGTTTTGCTGTGTTTATTTGTTTCGCACTTTTTACTTTTGCATTACTGTGAGACTTTTGTCAACCACCCGATCGTGCGGTGTTGAAATGAAATATGGATTTGCATGGAATAAACAAGGACAGTGCTTCATAAACCACCTGTCGCAAAAAAATAAAAAATAAATAAAAAATACGAGAGCATCCAGTATCATGAAGTGCTTTATGGCAGACTATTTCAGCTTCCTCATTCTGAGCGGTCATGATAAATTTTCACGATCCATGAATGCATTTTCCATAATCAGGGTCGCGGGTGAGCTGAAGCAGATCCCAGCTGACTTTGGGTAAAAGCAGACAATGCATTTTTGACCTCCCCAACATGATCCCTCAAAACTCACTCGGTAGCGCCCTCTGGAAAGGAAAAAAAAAAAGTCACTCTGGACATTTCGTTTCACAGATTGACATGATTGACTTTTTTGTGCGCCCTGTTTTGAATGACAATTTGCACCCAATTTCGTGTTGATTGGTAAAACCGATGAGGCAATTTTTCCACGGGACGCAAATGATTTGACTTTTGTAGGAGTCGCCGGTCCAGTCTCATGCATTTTTCAAAACCGCAATTTGGTTTGAGCGCATTTCCTTCTTTTTTTTTTTTTTTTTGCCTTCCAGACGCCGTCTTTCAGAACCACCCTCGGCTGCGCACGCCCCCGCTGCCGCTGTCCCATTCGCACTCGCCCAACCACCATCAACACCATGCGGCCTCCATCAACTCCTTGAACCGGGGCAACTACACGCCGCGGAGCAACCCCAGCCCCGCGCCCACCGACGGCGGCTCCTCCGCGCCCG